TGCATCTTCCCTTTGTATTCATTTCTTTATGTTTTTTTTCTTCAGCCAATGTAGGTCCTTTGCTTATATAAATTATAACCACTCAAACATTCCCAGACTCTGGTTTGATGCTTCAGTGAAGCTGCCTTGGTTCCAAGCATCACAAAAGAGGAGACAAGGGTAGGATATCAGGCCCAGACAAGGATTGTTAATACACATCATTTGAACAGATAACTATGTGTAACTTGACCAACAGCCTTAATATATGTAGAAATAGAACCAATTGGTTAACTTTTCGTCAAATCAATCTTGTTCAATAACAAAAAACGATCTATTTAAGTGAACTATAACTCAAGCAACAAACTTTTGTAAACAATTGACCTTGTCTAACAAGTGCTTCCCTTTGGATAGATTGATTTTTCTAGTCAAATAACCATTGATTCCAATCTTTCTTGTTTTTTTGTTTTTGGTTGGGGAATAATCTTTTACAGGCACTCTAAACAACATTACGTATGTCATCAGCCAGCGAGCCAGCAAAAGTTTAAAATCATGTCCAGCAAGGCTTGCTTATCCTATTCATACCCCAGCAACCAGCAAGACCACCTAAATCATTTGGCATATAATTAAAACAAATCAGCAAAGGAGGATTTCCCACACAGAAACACACTTCCAGGTGCATAGACGAGACGCATGCAGGCATGCATGCATTACCAGTAAACCTGTGCAGTCATTACTCACCGAGTGAAGAAGAGCAAGAAACTTGCAAGACAAGCTAAAACGAGGCAAAAGTCCACCACTAAGCTCCGATTCGACATCCGACAAAAGAAGCTGTAGAAGGGCCACATGAATTTTCCCAAGTAGCAATGAATCCTGAGATGTATAGACATATATATATGTTTATAAGTACAAATAAGAAATCAAATGAATATATTGAAACCCAGGTAACATACTAAGGAAAGTCCATTTATTCTCTTTTCTTTACTTTGTTTTAAGGGCAACGAAAAGCCAAGTTAAAGATTTGACAACGTATATGGTAAAATAAAGATGAGAAATAACCTTATCATGAAATGCTTGAGCAAACTCATCAAGTGTGAAGGAGCATATGTCAAGTGTTAGTGAATAAGTATACAAGAAATGGAAAACCTGCAAAAAAGATTTTGACCAACAATTAAGCAAGATAATTGAGAGAACTAAAGAGAACAGATGATTTATAACATGCTGCCACCACTAAATTCTAGATGAAGAGCAAGACAGCAGCCACCAGAAGCATGCTTTAAGGATAAAAAATCTTTCAGCAAAAAAATTGCAAGGATTAAACACATGAAAAAAGATTCTGCACAGCATATTTCATGCAGGATAAATTGGCCTTTGCCAAATCACTGAAGGAAGAGCAACATTAACAAACTTTAAGCATTGTAGACACCTTAAACAGTTTTTTGACAGCGTCTGGAGATGAATCCCAGGGTTGCATACTGAATGGTAGCTTCATCTTAACTGAACTAGGTGGAAACTTAGCCAGCAAATCTGGGAAACAATAAAAGAATTCCTCTTAGAACTCCAAAAAAATTTCTTATGCATGCACATGATATTTGTGACAGCATAAGGTGGAAAACTTGCTCAAGTATTCTTAAATATATATCATGAACACTACTAAACCAACCTTTACAAAGGGAGCAACCAAGCACTCCACTGGTACCAAGATGATCAGAGCATGTCAATGGATTTGGTCCGGCTTGCAACTCCCTCAGCTCCAACTCTTCATCATCAACTAGCATTAAAAGTTGATCAAGACTTTTATTGGATGTACTTCCTTCTAAAGCAAGTTCACATTTTTCTTTGTGCAATTGCCTATTATTGTCATTTTTGTTAGATTTCACCTGGCATTAAAAAGGTCAGCTAACATTAACACAGAAGTTATACTGTACTTACGCTAAACCACAAAAATGTGATTGAAAAGACCACAAAATTACCTCTCTCCTTTTAATTGAAGGCCTCTTCTTTTCCTGTAACTTCTTTTCCAAACTTCTCTGTTTCTGGAATGGCAAGTTACAGTCAGGAAATTTTCTACATATAACCATTAAGATAAATCTAAGGAAATGATCAACCAACAGACAAAGCCCCTGGTTTCTCTGGGAAGATTAAAAAAAAAAAAAGGATTTTCTAGAAGATTAAAGAAAAAAACAAAAACAAAAAAGGAAAAGTAATCAACACAAAATCCTGTGAGAGAAAAAATTAATAACTAACCATTAAAGATACTAATGGTTGCCGTCTTTTGCTCCGAGCTGGTGGCTTTCGCACTACAGGACTTGATGTTTGAGGAGGAGCAACGATTTGTTTATTAGGAAAATCAACACCAGTAGGAATATCTCCACCCTCAGGGTTTACAACCCTCCAAACTGTCATCAAACCTTTTCCAATACCATGCTTCTTCACTGGGGCACTCTCATTACAGTTGTTCTGATAATCTATGGTGGTAAGCTCAGAAACCTTAAATTGAAGAAGCAAAAATAAAAGAAATTAGTAAACTGAGGGGGTGGGAACTGAAGGGTGAACATATTGAAAACATTCTTGATACCGTTCTCCTTCTGGTTGCTCCTCTTTCGTACTCTTGATCAGCAGGATGAGAATTTTTAGAACCTAAATATAAGAAAAGTATGAGTAAAGGATTTTTTTTATTGAAATACAGTGTAAACAACCAGGAAAACTGGATAAAGCAAAAATCAAATAATGACAAGCTATGTTCCTCCAACTCTTCATTTTTCATCAAGTACCCTTGTCAGGCACTTATCAAACATCTCTATGTGGACCGGCATATGGGGTCTTGACCTTCCAAATATAAGGAAAAATTCAGAAAAACTGAATGCACTCATGTTGGACAAAAACCCATACCAGACTTAATCCTGAGTCCGAGCAATACGAATTAAGGTTAAACAAAATCAACAAGACAGACTAAATTTCAAATATTCACTAGCTTTTGCTTTGTTACACCTGTTAACTAGTAAACAGTAATAAATCATGCAAAATTTAACAAGAAAAATTCTTTTCTCCATCTTAGGAAAATAGCAACTTTGACAACCTCAACCTGATGAGAAACAGAAACCCACATGAGGTTTTCAGCATAAATTTGATTTGCAACAAAACCATAAACTAAGGCATCAAAGGAATAACCACCATTATTGAATGGCATCAAGTATCTATTAAGGCAACAAGGCTACAACTTTCCAGTAGTATACCTTTGCAGTGGCAAAAGGCTTGAGAAGGAAGAGAGTCAAATTCCACACCAAGTGGAGGACCATCCTTGCGAAATACCTTCTTCAGAATGTACTGAGTAGATAACAAATCCTGTGGAAGAAGCATTTTCTTCTTTCTCTGGTTAGCTGTTGAAAATGCACTTTTATGTCTCGAATATAAAGCAGCACCAGTGTTTGACCTATTATGAACCAAAGAGCCATGTCCTTTAGGGTTCTTTCTACCAGCAGAAAAACCTCCAACATTCCTTCCATTAGGAGCATGGAGTTTTTTCATAGAATGGATAGGTAACATAATTCCATAATCCCTTTTATCCCTTCTTCTCCTCTCAACAAACCATCCCTTGACCTCCTTTAAAGTTAATCCTAAAGCTGCAGCATAGCCTTCCACATCTCTCTGGGTAGGATATTTCTCCTCTGCTTCACAGGATAACACAAATAAGAGATAAAAACATAGGGCCATACAATCATACATCAGTCAGCTGGATTAATTGAGGAAAATCAGTAACCATCAAAGCCATGTCTAACATGTACTTCAGATGGAGGTCTTAGCTTAAATATTAATAAAATTTTAGAATCAATCTACACACCTGTAAAGCCATCTCATCTAAATAAATGCTTGGAAAACTTAACCAAAAGATACCCTGATAGACATGGTATGACTTTTAATACTAAAACATAAATCTTCATAGCCACACACACACCTTCATAGAAGCTCTCGAGAGCTTGAAGTTGGAGTGACGATTTCCTCTTCATTTCCGCCAAGTTCTCGTGGCCTTCTAAGTGATTACCTTAACTTAATTCAAATTCCCAAATGCCGAAAACTCGAGCCATATTAAACATACTGCGAATTCCAAACAAACAAAAAGCAACCATTCAAGAACAGAAAAAATAAGACCAAAATACCCCCTCCACCCCACCCAAAAGAAACCTCGTAAGAAGAGAAAAGTAATAAAAGGATTTCATCAACTGTGGCAGGTACTGAGTACTATCATCGTTAAAAAAAAATTCATCTAAAAGAACAAATGAAAGATTATTAGTATCATCATCTTCAGAAAAATGGAAAGGAAAAAAAGCACCCATTTCCCTGGAAACAAATCAGTATCCCATTAATTGCTTAAAGCAAAGAAACTCCCTTGGATTTGAGTTTCTCTTAGAGAATCACAGATAAAAGAAAAAAGAGTGGAGTGCAAAAGACCAATAGGGTTAACCAGTAGAATTACAGAATATAAACATAAAACGACATGCATAAAGCGTGAGTAAGAAGAAGAATCAGGAAACACATACTTAGTGGGCAGGAAACGAGCGAGAGGTAGAGGCGAAGTGAAGAAGACGAAGAAAGAAAGAAAGAAAGAAATAGGCAAGGTTGGGTTGAGACTTGAGAGCTGACACAGTGCAGAGATTTTAGAAAAGCCAGTAGGGTTTTGGGTTTTATCATCTTTTTATTTTTATTTTATTTTTTGTTTTTAATATTGGGTGGATTTTAATTATTACGCTTTTTCTTTTCATAAAAATATCTTTTCATTGGCATATCTCTCTCTATCTGGCTCCGTGGCTACTTCTCTGATTCTCTCATCGCACGCCATCATTTCTAAAATCCGAGCAAGCGGGGGGTTTTTAGGCGTTTGGGCCAACCAAAAAACAGCCGGGGCCCGTAGGCCGTTGGCCGTGGGGATCGTTTGGGCTAACTGAGGCCCTAGTCCGAATGCACTAAGCCCAGACCCAAACCCGCCGCCAAGGCGCCAATTAGATGAGTTCTTCACGAACAACAGAGCTTCTCTCTTCTTCACAACAACAATCCACGAATTGAACCTCCCACCCCCGCCTTTCTGCTCGTGAAAATTTAGGTGGCCTTTTCAATTCTCCTCTAACCGTCTCCGAGAAAGCGCAGAGTAAAAATGGAGGATGATTGCCCAAGAATCAAACGACGTTCCCTTAAAACCCATCCCCAATTCAACAATTACTCCTTTTGGAAAGACAAGGTTCGTTTCCCTATCTAATAATGGTTATGGGATTTCAGTTATCTTTCCTCGTGATGTTTATTTGCTGCTCGGCTTTACTGGTTTACTCCATTTTCGCTTTTTATTTTTGAATATTTATGCAATGCTTAAGTATCCTGTTGAGAAATTGAAATTGATGAATATTGTTTAAAATGTGGGTGGATGAAGTGTAGTTGAGAGAAAATTGTTACAAAAGGGTACGAGAGGACCGGACTCGTTTGCTTTGGAAACTGCGGTCGCCTGCCGCCCAATCTCTTATTGACAAGGTTCTCCATTTTCATTCCAATCCACCAGTTTTATTTTTCTAGTTTCTATATCTATTTTTGTTACAGTTACTTTCAATATAAATTTGGTGCTTGTAATTACCTTGGGAATATTCCAATATGCCGAATCTTTATTTTTGGGGAAATGGGGCACGGCGAAATATCCCACTTTGCTTCATATCAGGGTAACTTGGACTTGAAATATAAGATTGAAGTTCCTAGTTGTTCCAGAAGAGTGGTGTTATCAAGTTCCCCGATCCTTGCATTAGTAATTGTCAGCCTTCCTTTATGAAATAACCTAGTAGAGTTTGCTTTTGTACATAGTTTTGGTGCATATAAAATTTTCGGGCATTTTGGATATGTTTTTTTCTTTTTAAATTCTGTTTCTTTTTCTCTTACAATTAAGCTTTCATGCAGTGAGTTTATTATTATCACTTATTTTTTTATGTTTTCTGGTTTCAGGAGTTCATCAAATCTGCCTTTCAGGAAATAGTTTCTGATGAACTTAAAAAAATTAAAGACTCATCATTAAGTGACTGTTTGGAAATCTCAAATTCTGTACCCAAAGCCACTGATGAATTATGGGAATACAGCGGTCTTCAAGATGCTTATCAAGGTGAATGTGAAGAGGTATTGTTAGAAATGCAAAGAATTTTTTATGAGGATCTCAGGACAGAACCAGCAAGAAAAGGTGATAATTTCATACTCTTAAACAAAAACTTTCAGGGTTGTTCAAAGAAGAAGGGGGTGGGGAGACAATGTAACCAATTAAAATATACATCCAACTAAAATATTTGCATACTTATAAGTTAGATTTCTGTTCAGCTAGTTATCACCTCACCATCACTGTTTATCTTTTTTCATCTTTTGTTGTTCACTTATGCAGCTTTTATTTATCTACTGGGTTGTGCCCAATCTTTTTCACCAATATGAAAGCAGTTTTTTTATCATTGGATGTCTTCATCTCAATGTTTACAAAAGCCACAAGAAGAAAGAAGATTAATATCTAAACCAATCGCTGAATTAATTTTTGCAAAGCTGTCATATGTCTTAATGGGTGAATGATCATTCAGATGCGCAACTCAGTAGGTTATAGCTGGTCAAGTCATCCTTTTTGAGTTTAAATGTTTACTTTAGTTCCTTGCAGAACCAGAAGATCAAATAAAAACTTGGGAAGATGAAGAAGATGAGTACTTGGCACGTGCAGTTTCTGAGCATATGCAATTGAAGGATGAGCAGGTACAGTGACAATAAACTGTTTATGTTGATTTTTTCAGATAAGTGTTAGTATTATTACCCCTTAGTGAACATCTTATAAGTGGTGTTTTGCAGGTGAGGGAAATGTTTATCTAGGGACCATTTTGTGATAATGTACAAGAAATTTCTGTATTAGTATCATCATATGGTTTTTTATGTTTTGTATTGGGTTCTATATGAGATGTCAATTTTCAGCATTTTGTGCTAAGTTTTTACAAATGAATGAAATCAACAAGACTTTCTGATGTTTATGTTAGGTGCACAAGCAGATTTGGTGCCCCATCTGTAAGCAAGGAGAGTTGCAACAGAACCATAAACTTATTTATTGCACCCTTTGCAATCTTCAGCTCAACAGAGATGATGAGGTTCTTCCATCCAGCAATTTTTTTTATACAATTTTAAATTCCATGGCAGCCATTGATTGTTATGACTTTTTCATTTGCAGCATGTATCACATTCTAAAAGCTATCTTTATTTCTGATAAGTTTTCCTAATGACCAATTTTGCAATATATATTTGCTTTCTTTCTCTGTAATCTGTTTGCTTGCTAAAAAGAAATGAAACATTCAAGAAAAATGAAAATGGACTGCATCCATATGGTTTGTCATGGTATGGTGATTGTTGGCAATGCCTTTATGGTTTTCTGTAATTATGGCTGCTTGCTAGCTGAGTTGGTAACATTATGTTCTTGCTGATTACTGCTTGAAATGAAAGATTGGGTTTTTATTGTTTTTTGAAAAGCATGAATGATTGGGTTTGACTTCTACTCTCAAGATTATTTATTAAAAGATATGTATGAGCAAAGCAAATAAGTTCCTAGTGAAGTTACTTTGAATGATTTGTCCACATTCTTTTCAAATACTCAGGTTAATTTGGATAAACTACGAGATCGATTAGCTGAAGCCCATGATGACCATGTTGATCGAGGATGCAGATTGAAACCCAAGTTTTGCCTAGAGACTAGATTTGGTTTAACTGCATTGTACATCCTTTGTCAAGATTGCAATACTTTTGAGGTCGTCGTATAGCTTCTTTCCTACTTCATACTTGAAAGACAGGATAATATATTTCCAGGTTTTAATGCTTTTCTCGTCAAAGTGTATGCATGTCTGATGGATTGATTTTTATGTCCTTAGTATCCCCAAAAGAACCATTTGTTTGAATTGATTTTATGTATATACCTCACTTAAAATAAGAAATGAACATGCTGCCGCATTAAAGGTCTCTATTTGTTTAAAGTTAGGGGTCGGTTCTAATTTGATATGCTTTTCCCATGCTTGGGTAAAGGATTAAACCCCTGACTAAATTGAAATCTTACGGACTCCACCTTAAATTCAGTCACATTCTCACAATAAAATAAAATAAATAAAATCGCAATAGGCGTTATAGAAAAAATGGATGATATATATGAATCGGAATAAGCCAGCTCAACAATCATACACATCTCATACTATTGTTTTGATATCAATAGAACATGTAGGCATTCACTCAACATATCATAGCTCTCTATTTGCCACAAAAAGATATAAAAACAATATTGTAAAAGAATTAACACAAAAAATCCCCTCATTCCGTGCATATGGGGTGGGGCGGATGATAGAACTGACCAATTCGCTGAATTATATAATAATCTACACTAACACCAAGATTCCAACTTCCGCGTGCATAAGCTGGATGAAGATTAATGTACATCAATCAACCTTAACAAAAGAAGAGTACTTCACCCTTCAGATGCCTCTGCGGCCTTTGAAGCAGCACCTTGTGCCACGCTTTAACAGCTGATTCGATGAAATCATCAAATCGAAGCAGACGACAACAGCTGCGGATAAGAAAATTATAGCTGCTTCAACAGTCATGCATTCAACTCCCAAGGAATAGTTCATGAATTTTTGAGCTACGTAATCAACAATTCCAAACTCAGAAAAGCTCCTCCGAATTGAACTTGTTCCAGGCTTCCTATTTAACATACAAACAGACAAAATAGTGTGAAAGATAAAACAAGATGGAAAGCAACGCAGCACTATGATGAAATATTATTATACAATGAGCAACAATTTCCCATCTAAAAAACTGTGTCAAATAAAATGGCAATCGGTACAATGGAGGCTCTACAAGTAAAATAGCACACTCAGATAGACTGCTGCAAGCAAACGTTTATTAAGTACCTTGAGCAAGTCAAACACCTTCTCTGCGATATATTTCTGTTGAAGATTGGCACCTTTTTGCTGGACTTTATCAGGATGGATGCAAAGAGTCGCCTTTCTGTAAGCTTTTTTAACTGCAGCACCTGTAATCAAATCCGTCAAAGAAACCGGCTGCCAACCACATTCAGGCCAAAGAACCTAATCATCAAAAGACAATTCAGGAGAAAAATTAGATACAGTAAAAATGTCACATTTCCATGAGATTTGTACTATCAGAAATTCAAAAACAACTGATGAAGAGAAATGACTAAGGGAATTTCACAAGATCCTCTTGTCATTCACTACTTCAAAATTAACAGCAGTGCTCCAACAAATTTAATCGTTATGGAGCATAAATGGAACTTTTAAATAAGTGTTGGCACAGATAAGTACATGCACACACAATAAAGCTCATTCTCAAGCAGGAACTGTTTGAAGCACAATTAGTACCCTCAAGTAAGTGTTTGCACAAGCAAGCACTTGGGAATGTCAAATCATGATGCAACTGCATGCAAGACAGTCAGAAAGAGAGACTTAAGTAAAGACAGCATGCTAGAATCTGCATTGCCTTTTTAAATACTATTAATGCTATAGTCTGCCTTATAAGCTGAAAAGTCTATGAATTGCTTGACAAAAGGTCAACAAGATGTTTATCCTCTTTCTAGGATTCCAAAATTTAACTAAAAGGTCAGCATCACGAAAATAATTTTGCTAGGATGTCCTTGTATTCTACAAGATTAGGTATAGATGCTTATCAGTTATCACAAGTTTGACACCCTCCTATACAAAATCCATCCTGAAGTGGTTCAAGAAACTTCAATGCTCAATAAATAATAGCAAGCCTGCTACAAGAATACTTCCTTGACTGGAAGAATAAAACTGCGAGAGCCAGATTGTAAGCATCATGCAAGGGAAGAAGCTTTAAAGACATCCTCTTGTGCTTTGGTATCCTTAATTCTAAAAGTCAGCTAAATCAAACAGTCCAAAGATAACGAAATTGCAGCTGGACACTTGAAATTTGTCAGTCTAATCTCCTTTCAATTTTAAGTCCTACTTTAAATCAGATCGAATGTAGTGTATCCATCTGACAACAATACCAGCAGTGCAGTGTGAATAAAGAGTGCAGCTATTTAGATAGGAGGGTATCAGGAAAAGTTTAGAGTTCAATCAGAGGTGTCTTCTTATGTTTGAATGTCATCTCACTCGGTCTTCAACAACATATCTCAAAATTTGCGTTAAAGTACTACAGCATGTACAGAAGATCTCAGAAAAGTAGAATATCAGATGGTGGAATTAAGGCAAAAAAATGAGCACCATGCAAGATATACAGCAATTATATAGCCAAATGAAAAGTGCAGGGAGTGAGTACAATCTGTTCCTACATAAATTACTATGCAAGCAATAACAAGCAATAACGCACATATTGCAATGTTGACAGCAGAGCACGCAAATTTCCCTCTTTCCCAGCAGCCCATCTCTTGATCTCAACATCTAGTGTTTCAGCAATTCTCTACAATAAGACCAAAGATCAAATATTAGACAGACAACAAAATCAAAGAAAAATTTTTGCAGATGTATGCATGTACAAGTAAAAATACTCAGTTATATACACGCACAATAAAATTACAGCCAAATATTCTAATGCATCATAATGCTTTCATGACATGTACCGAATAATAATAATAATAATGATTTCATGACAGGAACTATTCTTGCAACACATTATGTGCCATTATACATACAATTACTTAAGCCAACCAAATACAAAATAACATAACATTGGGGTGCAGGCTAGTTGGGCACGTTAAATATTATCTTAGGTTCATATACAAAATTAGTTCCCAGTCCTAACTCATCTCATTGGAAACACTGGGGAAACAAAATTAAGAAAAAAGGTAATGACCAACTTTAACTTATCATATAGACAAAAGCATATTACAGGATTAAACACTCAGTTATCTTTCTGTCTCATGTAAGTTTTATTCATAACTCAAAATAAGAGTACTTGTAATAATTTAGTATAAAAGATAGCATTAACTTGCAGGAAATTTGCACACCTCCGTGAGAGACAAAGCCAGCCACCCATTTCCTTTATATAATAGTATAGAAATTAAGTAAATCTTTAAACGATCCTAGAGTCAACTTTACAAGTTAACCGCTACCCA